AACCGACACTGTCAAAACGACGTCGTTTTATTTAAGTAAAGAAACGGCCCGCCGTTAGAGTTAACGGAGTCCGCTTGTTTGGTGTATTAAACACCAACTGACACTACAGTATATCTAAACCGACACTGCAGTTATATCAAAATGATACTGTAGTTATAGTGAAATGAAACTGCAGTGTATATAAAATGAAACTGAATAACATTTCACATATTTGAGTGTATATTGTACAATGAAGCTGTAATTATATCAAAATGATCATGTAGTTGTGTTTTAATGAAACTATAGTGTATATAAAATAAAATTAAATAACATTTTCACATATTTGAGTCTATAAATATCGAATGAAACTATAGTTATATCGAAATGAAACTGTAGTTGTGTTGAACTGAAACTGCAGTGTATACAAAATGACACTGAATAACAGAGTTACTTTTTGCAAAAGGGTGCGAAACGGCGAAAACAAACACGGTTTATTTTCATTTAAAAAAAAGACGCGCGGTGCATAATCGATTATGCACCGCGGTGCATAATATAATTTGCCCAATAATTTGCTGCAGGCTTGGGACATGGGCCAGCGCGAAACGCAATAAATGGGCTAGTCAAACAGTGGTAGCAGAATGGGCTGTGGGTTTGGACCAAGAAGAGGAGATCCGGTACAAGAGGGGTGAGTGGTTTAGCAAAAACAATATTCTAATTGACAAGAGGGAAAGAGATCTTATTAGGAATCTATATGTCTAGTTTGAATGTAAGGCAACTATCTTAGATTTTTAGTGGCTTATTCATTGCTAATGTTTTAGAGCAATAATACTCGCCCATCGGTCATCACAGCATTATTCTAAACTTATTACTTTTTACTTCTTAATCCCGAAACTATGCGTTGTAGGGCACAGATTTTTAGTGGCTTATGCGTTGTACGAAGTGGTTTGTTAACCCTCCCTTTTATTCATGTAACCTGTTATCTTCTGAAAAAAAAAAAAAAAGTCTTGCCTTGTTCTCTAATCTAAACTATAATAAAGCTATATGGTTTGGGAAGTAATTAATGTTACTTCCCAAACTATATAGTTAAGATTAATGTTACAATTAATTACCAATATTATTATTATTACTAGCTATAAATACAAAATAGCCACAACATCCTTTACTATAAAAATAAATAAAAAAAAAAACAAAAAAAAAAACACAACATTTGAAAAATAAAATAGCTATTTTTTTCTCGCCCATAACAAAGGATTACATTTATTGAATTAATGGAGTTATTAAATGTTATGATATTAGGATTAAGGATTCCGATTCCCGATTAATATAAAATATGAAACGATGCAATATCAATTAACTCTCTGGCTTTACAATGAAAATTTATTTGATATGCTTTTGTTATTTATGGTGCTTCTTGGAATTACAATATTAATTAAATTTTCGATGAAAGCCTATTCGATATCTGAAACAGTGCAATTAATGTAAGCCTCTACATATAATTTTTCTCCCTCTCAAATGCTTCAAAGAAATGGCAGAAGCGGGAAGGGATGAAAAAAGCAAATGTTGCGGGCCGTGGGTCAATTATTGGACTTCAGAATATAAAAAATAAAAAAAAATCATTTGAGCCATAAATAAAAATTTAAATATATATAAATGTATATTTCGTATGGGTCTTTAATAATGTTTTTCTGAATTTCTAAACTTAGGACTTTTAAAAGAAAAAATATACATTTGAATTATCTCCACAAAAAGTGGTCTTGGACTTATAGAATGACATTTGGGTTTATGGAATGACATGTGCATAAAGAATATATTATATAATCATATAAGAAAAAATGTGTCCAATTAGAGTTTAAATTTACTCATACAAAATTTGAAATTTTCTTTCTAAATGTAATTATCTTAGTTATTATTCGTATTGTGAAAATTATAATATAGATGGAATACAATTAAGAATAAATCAATGTAATTATGTAAATTCTCTCTATAAGTTTATTTGAATATGTACATAATTAGAGATTATATTAACCATACAAAATTTTAATTTTAATTTTAATTGTAATTTTGTATTTTATAAAAAAAAATAAATACTTGACCAATGGAAGCTCAAAAATATTATTATATTAAACAATTTAAAATATTTTTTTTCTTTTTTTTTTAATTTATATTTATAATAACATAATTTTTTTCCCGTACATCGCGCGGGTGATAATTATTAAATAACAAAAATTTTATATATGAATAAACCTCATATAAGGTATATTTTTATAACATATTTTCGTGCAACGCACGGGACAAATACTAGTAATAATAATAATAATGATAATAATAATAATAATAATAATAACTCTTGCCCTCTCTGCTTTTTCCACTACAATAATAACTCTTGCCCTCTCTGCTTTTTCCACTACAATTGCTTGAGAGCATTTGTTATTGATTTGAATGATAATTTCGAAACTGATTATCATTGTAATGAAATGAACAATGTAGATGAATGTCCTACTAGAAGGAAGAAAGAAAAGATGAAGGAAAAACTCTTAGATGAGTGCAATCAATTTATTGTCGCGATGGAACAACAAATTACACAATTCAAAAAAATGTTCAAACACAATCATGAGTCACTCCAAAAATAATATGAGCTTGATTTGTTTAAAGTTCAAACTGCGGCGAACAAAGTAGCATTGGCAAAAGAAAAAATATCATTGGAAAAACGAAAAGACGAAAACAAAAACAAAACAAAAAAAGGAATTACAAAAGAAGAGGGGTAAAAATTGAAAAAAAAAAAATATATCCAGGTTTGGTGCAAGGTGAACAGTGCTGCGCCAAATATAATGGTGCGCCATTTTTTTGGTGCGATAGCGAGAAGGTTGGAGGGCATTTCACGCCAAATATAATGGTGATTTGGTGCAATAGCGTGAAGATTGGAGATGGCCTTAGAGCAACATTATCAATGGTTTTTTGGAGAGAATAATACAATTTGTGATGAGTTGGAGGGAAGAGAAATGGGGAGAGAGAAAGTTGAGCCTCTTCTGCAAAGACCGCATAATTGAACAGTGTTGGTCAAAAATGGAGAGAGAGAAGCTTGAAAAGCGAAGCCACACGGGCGCGTGCTAGAATTTTTTTTAAATTTTTTTTTCTAATTTTAAAATAAGTTTTGTTTTATTTATTCTTTTTCTTTTCTCCCCCCTCATTTATTCTCTTTCATAATTACACCTACAATAATTCCTCAAAAACCCCTACTAGTGCGGATGCTCTTATCTTTCTTTCATGTTGGCAAGAATTTCTTGTATACCGTGAAGAAACCCTTTATTGAGGATGGTGTGGATTATTCAAGGTTTTTAAGACTTTTGTAGTAATGTGAAGGAGTGAAAAGTTGGATAGAGAGAAAATAATAATAATAATAATAATAAATCCTCCTGCGGCCAAGTTATTTCAGATGAAATGGTCCCAACATTTAAGAGTTTAAAGAAAACAGCATCTATCTCCACACTCCTGCATATATCCTCACTCCTACATGGTGAATAAAAAAACTCATTTTTACTTTTTGTGTGAGCATCTTATCTCCTCAATCATGCACACATAAAAATCCACAAAAAAACCCCATCTGAATAGACAAAGACATGTCTGCTCTTTGCGCTCAATTGGTGACTTCAAACTTAAAAAAGTATTTGACTTTGACGACAATTGGCATGGACTGTCTTGTGTTATCACTATAAATTCATCAAGGCTTCACCTTTTTCCGCCCCCCTCAAATCTCGAGATAGATATGGCCACTTCTTCTTTTCGTGAAATTTGGTCTGCAACTTCAAGACACTTGAACAGCATATTCTCCACGCGGCGTCTCCTCCGTCCCCCTCCGCCGTCCCCATTGAACCTACTCTTTCTCTGCTCGTCACACTACTCCAGCTTCAGTTCAACGGAAAACAGAGCTCTCCCTTTGAAATCCATCCCATCAGTATGACAATCGGAGTTGTCAGTTTGATACTTTATCTAATACTACGTGAAGCAGCGCATTGGCTTCCTTCAAACTCTCAGCCTCGACTCAATCTTTTTTCTGCAGTTTTTCGCAATTCAGTCTTGATATGTATTGCCTCCATTCTTTTGCCCAACAAGATCAAACCTTTCTTCTACATTTCCTGCTATTTCACCTTAGCTACTGTTACGGTGTATTCAGTATTCAAGCTTCTGCGTCGTCCCCCGGCAGAACAGAGGGCTCTTTGGTGGCAGAACAGAAGAGTCTTTGCTTGCTTCATTTGGGGCATGGAGAGATTCCAACCCAGACATGGAGATGGAGGTGGCCTTCCTGTAAGTTTTCCTCCTAGCTAGTGATCGGTTAGCTGTTGGGAAAAAGCAATTAGAGTTCAAGCAAATTCCGGCAATGTTTTAGTAAGGACAGGCGAAGTAATGGAAAAAAAAAAAAAAAAAAAAAAAAAAAAAGGCTATAGATACGGATTCTTGTCGGGAGTTCTTACAATTAATAATACATATCCACACATTAAAAAAAAAGGCTCAGAAATATAAAAATATATGGATGAAAATGTTTATTCTTGAGCAACATTCGATATTTCCAGCAGCAGATGTGAAGTGTGACAAGAATCTGCACGAACTGTGTTGTGTTCATTACACTATGAACGAGAAAATTTCAATTTTGATCACATGACTATAGGGGCTTTGTTAATTTTAGCACCTAACTTTCAAAAGTGTCAATTTAGTACCTTAAGTATGTAATTTTTGTCAATTTTAGTCACTCCGGCCAAATTGCCGGTCAAATTTGGCCGGAAAAATTTAGTCCAACATTTAGTCTAAACTCTGAGGGGCAAAAGACCATTTAGTCTAAACTCTGAGGGGCAAAAGACCATTTTGCCGATCAAATTTGGCTTGCAATTTGGCCGGAGTGACTAAAATTGACAAAAATTACATACTCAAGGTACTAAATTGACACTTTTAAAAGTTAGGTGCTGAAATTAATAAAGCCTCTATAGTCGTGTGACCAAAATTGAAATTTTCTCCACTATGAACCATATGTAAGCCTGAATCGCTCCTCCAAGTAGTCCCCGGAGCGAATAGGAGGGAATCTGTAAATACACAAAAATAAAGCAAATAAGAAATCATAGGTTTGACATCAAGCTGACAACGAGAATTACCATATTGCGGACCAGGATCCAAATTATGTACTTTTAATTAATACATTTGAATTTGAACAAGGTCCACAATGTGTATGGTGAACTCTGATCCATGATATAACTATTGTGGGTCACACTGTAACAAGCTTGCAATTATTATTGTGTGGACCATACTATCAAATAATGTACATTATATTCAAAAAAAAGTACATTATTTGAATATTGAAAGTACATTACATTCAGTACACGAATAATGTACTTTTAGTATATTAAAATGTACTTTTTGTAATGATCCACACAGCATTGTGGACCATAACAATAATTTGCCGCAGGCTTGGGACATGGGCCAGCCCAAAACATGACAAATGGGCTAGTCAAACAGTGGTAGCAGAATGGGCTGTGGGCTTGGACCAAGAAGAGGAGATCCCGTACAAGAGGGGTGAGTGGTTTAGCAAAAACAATATTCTAATTGACAAGAGGGAAAGAGATCTTATTAGGAATCTATATATCTAGTTTGAATGTAAGGCAACTATCTTAGATTTTTAGTGGCTTATTCATTGCTAATGTTTTAAAGCAATAATACTCACCCATAGGTAATCACAGCATTATTCTAAACTTATTACTGTTTACTCCTTAATCCCAAAACTAATTCATTGGTTGCCTATATCCAGGAAATCCTAGTTCTATCTCATTATCTTTCGGGATGGTAATTTATCATTACCCAAAAAAAAGAGCAATCTTTCTGACCTGACTGATTCAAGAAAGAACATAACTGCATAAATTCCAGAAATTTTGTAAGTTCAATAGTTTTTGAGTAGCCTACCTGCAAGGAGATGACTCGCTGCAGCAACTCTCCAGACATTCCACCAAACAATCTGGATTAGGATCTAGAAAGAAAGCTACCTAGTAGATATACAGACACTGTTAGTTTATGCAGCATAACGTATTGCTGCCAGCAAACCACTGTGAAGTGTGAAGTGCATCACAAATGAAATGGAAATCCATGCCTAGAAGGAAAAAATCGCATTGCGTTGTCAATTTTGATCTCTTCATGTAGATTGAGAATTTGAGAAACTAGCAGAGAACTTTTCTTTTTCGTTTGACTTAACCATGTAATATGAGCTTTAGAAAACATGTGAAGGTCATAATACGGGAGGGCAAAGATGTGAAAAGATTCAAAGAAAGCCAACAATGTGAAGAAATCTTGGTTACCGAATAACGTTCAGATCCAGTTGGCACCACTCTATGCAATGTTGATCTGAAAATTATTTTCAAAGGTACAAGAAAATTGAGCTTTTAGTGAATAAACATGAAACACCTAGCAGCAAATATAACAATTTCTCTCTTTAATGGGAATGGGTAGAACTAGAAGCTGCCTTACTGAAACAGACAGTTTGTCCACCTCTCAGTCATATCTCCGATGTTAACAATGAAAGCCCTGTAGAACCAATTTGAGAAAATTTTGAGTGGTTATGAAAACTTCTCTAAATCCTAGGGACATGCAAAAACTTGTAGACAAACCATTTACAGCTCTCCAGATTAAAAACCTCCAAATTAGAATGTATATATAGCAAAGGAGCATATGTGACTTTAATAATGTCAATAAGAAGATTAAAGTTTATAGACTATAGACCAAATAACATGAATATAGAATTAAATGTATTGAGTCGCCATTAACATCAACTTTTTGAAACCATTGATGGAATTATAAGCAACTACTAGACCTACCCACTAAGATTAGGCACATCTTCCCATATCCGTGGTTGTCTAAATTTCTCCCTGCAAACCTGTTAAACTAATTTGTTTACTACCATGAATTGTTATCTGTAAAAACAATACATTTGGATTAAACTGAATTTTAATAAACCATACCTGCAACCCCGGCACTCCATCTGTTGCTAGAAGAGTAATCATTCCATAGTCTGAATGAGCTGAAGCACCATATATTACTTGATCTGGAGATTCCAATGGACCTGGCACGGCTGAAGGGAAAAACATTGTTTCCAATTTTCGTATTTAGACCTAAACTTGAAACATATTACTGATAATGTTTTCATCCACATTTATCCAACCAAAAAGCGTATAAAGATCACTAATATATTCAAATGATTCACTTTTCACAGTATAGAAGCCTAGAAATATATCACACTCCTATTCCTATGGTTTTGAAGTGCATCAACAGAACTGGTATCGGAGAAAGAGAGATGCAATAGTAATCACAGATGTTGGCATAAATTAAACCTGGATAGTGTAACAGGCGGAGGAAACCATTTGGAGGATTAAATGCAACAGCTTTATCAAAGAAGTCTTCATCCAAGTTCAGTGCCAGGGCAATCAATGAAACTAGTTTCTTTCCAGCATTCCTGGGATACATCCGCAGAAAAACCATTACAAAAAACAAAAGAAACTACATAAATTGCCTCCCAGCATAGATTTATAAACTACAGGGGAAAATATCAAGAACCACACTACAATATCAAGAAGAAGGTTAACATGTCAATGTTCCAACTGATACTTATTAGTGCAATGAGTCAACTTTAAATGCCTTAATCATTACTAAAAAGAAAATATTACAGAAAGTTGAAATAAACAATAATGAGTAGCTCTTATGTGATAAGCTCTTATATTGTTTTACCTTTTTGCAACGTGCTATTCTATTTATCCCTCAAAAATTTTTACATTTCCCTTTTTAAGTCTCCACAATTTCACTCTTCATGGGAAAAGAACATGGATGAATAAATAAATAAAAACAATTGAATCATTAAGCAAATTTAAATGAATTATGAGATGCTCATAACAATTAAGTAGGTTATTTTAACAATTCCCTCAAGACAAAGATGAAAATGATACTTACAACACTCTTTCATAGTAATCTTCCATTGTTGCTTTCCACAATGGCAGAACGCCTAGGATCCCATCACATCAAAACGAACCAAAAAAGCCATACAAATTCTCAGTGATTCAAAGGATTTAGGATCTAAAATGCATTTGGAAGCACACATAACAGCATACAAAACGATATCATATCATTTGCACCTAATCCTTAGATGCAAATGATATGATATCATTCTGTATACACTTCTGTGTGGTTCAAAATGTATCAATGGTTTCAAAAACTACCTTCAGAAGGCCACTGGTTCAAGTCACTGTGTTCCAAGGGACCAATATGGAAGTTTTCCTTCGAGTCACCTGCACAACAGCGAATGGAGCAGAGGAGAATCAACATTGAAATTTCCCAGATCTCTCTCCCTTACTACCACTTTCCAAATGCAAATCAGAAATTCAGAATAGAGAACATGATTTCGTTCAGGAATTTCGTAGAAAACGACTGTAGAAGGTTCAAACTAGCTAAGCTAGCATACATTAAACATCAAAAAACACTCGCCAATCAGTACATCGTGTTGAAACGGACCTTTGCAACTCGAAGAAGTATCCAGCTTCTCAGCATAGAGAGGAGTATAACCTCTGTTTAGCTTGCGATCAAGCTTCATCTTCTCTTCGAGCGGCAGCGAGAAAAACCGCCTGCTCTGTTCGAAAACCTGGCGGAATAGGGTTTCTTCTACTCCGTGGTTTATCAGGTAGAAGAAACCGTATTCCATACATGCCTACACCAATTGTTCTCTACTGTTAGCCGTATCGTATGAATTCTACTGTAAACTAACTTATTTGGATGGTTGAAGAGCTAAAGAAAAGAAGATACCCGGCGTACGGCACGAGCGGTGGCGGTGCGGTCCGGCGAACAAAGATCGATGACCGGAAGTTGAAGTGAGTTCGCCATTTCTGATAGAGTTTTCGGATATATAAATTTTATATAGAGGAAATACCGGCGGAGGTCCTCCGACTTTGGTGGCACTGTCACTTTTAGTCCTCAACTTTTAAATCAACCATTTTTAGTTTTTTTACTTTTTGTTTCTAGCCATCTATGGTCCTTTCGTTAAACTTGACCATCTAATGCCGTTTTTTAAAAGGTAATTCAGTCCTTTCATAATTAATTTATTAATTATTATGTTTAATTTTCTCATCTGAATAGTCAAACAATGGTTTCCCAGCTATGAACGTGTACAAAACCAGTTCGTGAATCAAAATGACGTACAAAAGCTGGTATGAGGGTTGTGCCAAAACGACGTCGGGATATCTCGGTATGACTCGGCAAACATAATAATTAATAAATTAATTATGAAAAGACTGAATTATCTTTGAGAAAACGGCATTAGATGGTCAAGTTTAACGGAAGGACCATAGATGGCTAGAAACAAAAAGTAAGAAGACTAAAAGTGGTTGGTTTAAAAGTTGAGGACTAAAAGTGACAGTGCCACCAAAGTCAGAGGACCTCCGCTGGTATTTACTCATTTTATATATTAACACATTACAAAATTTGAAATGATGGGAATATATAATATAATTATTGAAAGAAATATATCAAATAAAATCTTTTAACCAAATATTTATACTAAATAAAGAATTCAACTAATCTAATATATTTGTTGCCAAAAGTTGTTATAAATAAACAAATCAAAAACAATTGGGAAAAGGGTCAAATAGACCCTTAAACTTTAGCTTAAAAGTCAATTAGGCTCCTAAACTTTTTAAAGGTGTAATTACACCCATCAACAATTCATTTAGGTGCAATGAAGCTCAAAATCAGGTTAATGACCTGTGGTAGGGAATATCCCGACCGACATAGCTTCACCACGACCGAGGAGTCTTTGTCTCTTCCTCCTTGTCTTTGCAGGTAACAGGTCGGGCTCCCTGAGAAGAACCCGGTCGGGAACCGACCAGGAGTTGCCCGAGCGATGCTATGAACCCCGAGCGGTGGTCCTTAGGCGAGAGAGCTGGCTAAAGACACGTGGCGGCTCTCTACGACGACAGGCAGGGCACCCGGGAGGGGGACGCGTGGAGGCTACGTGGAGAGCATGCCGAACGGCCGGAAGCTTGTCTCCGGCGTCGCGGCTATAAGTACCCACAGTAGCTACAGTGTAGAGGACTTTTGGACGATCGATAGGTTGTAACTAGAGACTCCCGACCGCAGTCAGTCGGTACTCAGTGCAACCAAGTAGATTGTACTTAGGAACTCTACCTTGATCAATAAAGAATTACTTGCTTTACTTGGTCTTGTGTTATTTATATTGCTTGCGTAGAATTAGCAGTATCATTTTGGCGCCGTCTGTGGGGATCCGTGCAACAAGCCAACGTCTTGACGAGCACCCGGTCTCTTTTCCAACATGTATCCGTGGGCACACAACAACTTTGCCGACGACCAGGCGGATGCGGCGAGCTCCTCCGACCACTACGCTACCCAACAGCAGGGTCAGACGATGGACCTCAACCTCAACCTTTCACCGCCACATCCGTCAAATACATACCCGGCCGCCCAGCAGCCGGTGAATTATATACAACCGGGATACCCACCACCCGGTCTGCCATACCAACAGCAGCCGATGATGTATCCCGCCCAGTACCCGTATCCGGTTCCACCTCCACCATACGGGTTTTGGCCAGGCCAACCGATGTGCTACACTTCCCCGGTTGGCTATCCACCATATACGCCTGCCTATACAGCTCCAGCCGCCGCCCCTCCAGTACAGCCGACCGCACAAGTAGAGCCGCAGCGTCAGTCCACTTCCCGGGCTCGACGCTCGGCTCATTCGCGGTTGGGGTCGGGGGGTGCTGACGCGATGGAGGCACCAGTTCAGGCCGTTCAAGCGGAGGACCCAGAAGAGGTTGCCCGAGCGGTAGCTTTCGACCGCCTCCGACCAGAGATGCGCCAGCGTCTGGGACCCCAGGACCCGAACCCCAGGCAAGAGGACGTACAAATGCAGGAAGCTAGCCACGAGGCTTCGTCCGGGTACAGCGGGTCGAGATCACATCGACGTCGACGCGCTCGGGATACAGCCCAAGCCGCCCAGAACGCCGAGCTCAACGAAACCCGAGGGTTGCTCTACAACCTCCAGGCGGAAGTTGCGCAGCTAAGGAATGCATATCCTGCGGCACCCCCGGCCGACCGATCGACCCTCCACCAGACGCCTTTCACAGCAGCGGTAATGGCTCAGCCTTACCCGCTCGACTTAAAGGTCTCGGGAGAGAAGAGTTACGACGGTCGGACAGATCCTGAGGCTCACGTGAACGATTTTTTCAGCAACATGATGCTGAAGGGCGTTTCAGACGCCGTGATGTGCAGGGCCTTCTACTCAACCCTCACCGGTCGGGCAGCAGAGTGGTTCCGCACCTTACCCCCGGGGTCGATCGACAAATTTGAGACCCTGGCGATCAAGTTTGTACGGAAGTTCATTACTTCCAAAGTGGTGAGGAAGTCTTACATGTACCTCGAGAAGGCCAAGCAGCTCGAAGGGGAAAGCTTGACCGACTTCCTCATCAAGTGGAAAGCGGCGGTCGGGGAGGTCGAACCCATGGATGATGCGACCGCCACCCACATGCTTCACATCTCCCTCCGGGCGGGGTATCTATACCAGGATTTCATCCTTCACCCCCCGACCACATACGAGGAGGCCCTCCGAAGGGTCACGGATTACGCCAATGCTGGTGAGGCGAATGCCGTGAAACGTTCACAAGAGGTCGGTTCTTCGTCCCGTAAACCGGCCGGCCGGGCGGAACATCAACCGAGACACGATCGTCCCCGATCCCGCACCAGGCCTGGTGAGTTTACGGCCTTAAACCGATCTGCAGCGGAGGCCATGCAGTATGCCCAGTCTTGCAACCTCATCAAACTCCCCCATCCCGATCGAGACGGCCCTGATAAGAGTAAGCACTGTGCTTACCACCGATGCGCCGGGCATGATACCGAGGAGTGCACCCACCTGCGCCAATTGTTGGAAGATTTGCTCAATTTGGGGAAATTGGACAAGTGCGTGGGGAAGAGAGAAGAAAGCAAGAGGAATACCGATCGGAGGGATCACAGGCGATCTCATCACCGCTCCGATCGGTCGGGTCAGGACCGAAGAGACGATCGAAGGGACGATCGTCACGATGACCGACGGGACCCTGATCCCCCGACCAGCAGTCGCCCGGTCGGCAAGCCCACCATCCATGTCATATTTGGTGGCTTAGAAGACGCTTCCCAGCCGAGGACGAATTGCCCGGTTGCGATCGTGGATTCCCGAGAGACCGGGAAAAGACAAAAAATGGAGCCCATAACCTTCACCTTAGAGGACCAACCTAGCAGCAGTGACCACGGCATGGAGGCGCTCGTGGTCACAATCGACGTCAAGGGAACGGACGTCCAGAGGGTTATGGTGGACACGGGTAGCAGTGTGAACGTCCTATACTTGGACGTATTCGAGAAGCTTGGCCTTGACAGGAAGGAGCTGACTCCGGTCGGTGTACCACTGTCGGGATTTACCGGGGCCCTCATTTACCCCGAAGGCAAAATCACTCTCCCGGTCGAGATCGGCACCCCCCGAAGTCGATCAAGACAGAGCTTGAGTTCGTTGTGGTCAACCTCCATTGCGTCCACAACATCATCCTAGGCCGACCCGCCATCATGAAGATCGGTGGGATAATTTCCATGCCCCATCTCTGCATGAAATTCCCCACCCCAAATGGGGTCGGTGTGGTCCGTGGCGATGTCCAGTCCGCCCGGAAGTGCTACACCCGAGCGGTCAACAGACGCGATTCCGGTCCGTCTTCCCGGGTGAACACTATAGCCAAGGAGGAGGCTAAAGAACGGAAGGAACAACCCGAACCTTCCGAGGAGATAGAAGAAGTTCCCCTGTCCGAGGACCGCCCGGATAGGAAGATTAAGATTGGTCGGGCCCTCACCCCCGAGCTCCGAGCGGAGGTTCTGAGCATACTCAGGGAGTATGCTGATATTTTTGCGTGGGGACCCGAGGACATGCCCGGGATTGATCGATCGGTCATTTGCCATAAGCTAGCCGTCGATCCCGCAGCGAAACCGGTCGTGCAGAAGACACGACACCTATCTTCCGATCGCCGCGAGTTTGTCAGAGAGGAGGTCAAGAAAATGGCGGCGATCGAGCACATCCGCCCGGTTATCTATCCCGAGTGGGTGGCAAACATTGTTCTAGTTCCAAAGCCCCCAGCTTGGAGGATGTGCATAGACTTCACGGACCTCAACAAGGCCTGTCCGCTCGACCCTTATCCTCTACCGAGCATTCATCAAATGGTCGACGAGACGGCCGGGGCCGAGCTGATGAGCTTCATGGATGCCTTCAAGGGATATCACCAGATAATGATGCACCATGAAGACGAAAGCAAGACAGCCTTCGTAACCCCGGACGGGCTGTATTGCTATCGAGTGATGCCGTTCGGCCTCCGGAATGCAGGAGCGACTTACCAGAGGATGGTCAATATGCTCTTCGCCGATCTATTGGGCCGGACGATGGAGGCTTATATTGATGATATGCTGGTCAAGAGTCGGGACCGGTCCGACCACACTCGGGACCTCCGGGAGTGCTTCCAGATCATGAGGAAGTACCAGTTGCGGCTGAACCCGACCAAGTGTACATTCGCGGTTCAGACCGGCAAGTTCCTCGGCTACATGATGACCAAGAGAGGAATTGAGCCCAACCCGGCCAAAGTTAAAGCGATTCTGGACATGCAACCACCTTCTACCGTTCGGGAAGTCCAGCAATTGACTGGTCGGTTGGCAGCCCTCAGCCGGTTCCTCTCCAAGTTAGCCGAGCGCGCTTTACCTTTCTTCAAGGTATTGCGAAAAGTTAATGGGTTCGTCTGGGACGAAGAGTGCCGAGCAGCTTTCAATGAGCTGAAGGAGTACCTCATGTCACCTATTGTGCTCTCAAAGCCTGAGCTCGGAGAAGAGCTAGACGTGTA